GTTGTATCTGGTGGTCGTGATAAAAAAATTTATATGACGGATTTAAAAAATCCCAATAAAGTTCAACTTATATGCAATGAGTCAGCTCCAGTTGTAAAAATGGTTACAACACCTGATATGAGTGCTATTTGGGTAGCGACATCTGAATCCTCTATTAATTGCTGGGTAAGCATATTATTTGACAAATAGTTGAATGTTATTAGAGATGTTTTCAGCGTACAATTTGTTTTCATTCTGAATCATGTGCAACATGTATGTTTATTTTATACGTAGCAAAATATATGTTAGTTAAGCAGAACCAACCCTTGTTTTTACTTTTGATATTGAAGTGGATTTACGAATTATAATACTTTAAGCTATGAATATTACATCTGTCCAGTGTTGGGTACTAACGTAACGAAAGTAACAGCGTTATTTTGATTGTAACGCGTTACGTAATTTCATTAGAATTATTTCCAAGTAACGAAAATGTAATAGAAATTACTTTTGACAAGTAATTTCTATTGAATAACGCGTTATAGTTTCGAATTATTAAGTACCTACCTTTTGCGAATTGAAAAAAAAAATATGTCTATAATACAGACATTATTATCTAGTATAGTAATATACTATATTATTATATATTAAAGCTCTTTATACAGCTGATCTCACAATTTTGAATTCAATGACATTAGTAAAGAATATTTTTATTAAATACAACACAGCTTTACCATCCAGTGTTTCTGTAGAGCAATTATTTAGTGTTTCAGGGGATATTTGTTCTAAATAAAGGTCGCGTATGATTGACAAAAATTTTGAAGTTACAATATTGTGTAAAGTTAATTTAAAACATAAATAAATATAAAATAATAMTATTGTATTATATTGATTATAGTATATAAGTATATATTAATTTCTTTTTCAAATTATATCTATTTACTATAGGTAATGTATTTATAGTAACATTATTGTCAGGCACAATGATAATATTGTTAAAATATATTTAAAACTATAAAATAGGTATTTAAAAATATTTTTWTTTTTTTTTGTAAYGAGAAAGTAATGAGTTACTTTTCAATTTGAAAAGTAAAGTAATTTCATTAAAATTTTATTAGAGTAACGAATAAAGTAATTTTATTACATTTCTCTCTAAGTAACGAGTAAAGTAACTTTATTACTTTTTAAAAGTAATTTACCCAACACTGCATCTGTCCTATGTTAATTTATATAAAATTTTAATTTTTATATGATTTATTAGTATTTTTAATATGCAATAATTACATGCTCATAACTTACCTAAAAATTAAAATATCTAACATAAGGACACAGATAATGTTCTTAACTTACACAGAATTGGTTCTGCTAAATGTAAATTTTCTATTTTGTGCATGGGGCAGAGAGAAAACAAATAGTGCTTTAACATCCTCTTAATACGATTGAAAGAAAACACCATTGTTTAGTACAAAGAAATATAATTCTTATATAAAAATGCATTTCATTTAATTTCTATGGTAATAGATAAAAATTATTTTTGCTTTTTTACCAAAAATGCTTTGCTTTATCTTTCACTCCTCCTTTTTTATTGTTTGTGTTAAATCATTAATTTATTGGTATAAATTTGTGAGAGCTTACAAAGACTAGACATTGTTGATTTTATGTTACTTAATAATTTTGATGACTAGAATGTACTCACCTGGGTAATTTTCTATTTATAAAATATTAAAAGTTCAAACCTTCAATACTTTATTGAAGACAGTTTTTCAAAATACATGGTTAACAGTTGTACATTTTTTTTAAACACAATTTTGGTAATTGATTTTAACCTATTACATTTCTTAATTTCTTTTATTATAAATAAAATTCATATTTTAGATTCTGAGCGGAGCGATGTATGTTTTTATTTATTTTTTTATTTTTATTGAGTCTGTCATCACGTTTTGGGGCAGTAAAAGTGCTTAAATTTTTGACTTCAGTACCTCGTTCGAACAGAAAGTGAATCTAGTTGGTACTTTGGGGGATCAAAAGTAAAAAATTCTTAATACTTTTCTAAATAATCAAGAAAAACAAACTAAAAATTAAAGGAAAAACGGGAAATTTTACACACAATCAGTTTTCGACAAAATCTATTTTGGTTTTTGATGTAACTTTAAAACAAATGACCATAGATACATCTTCACTCAGAATCGTTTTTCGTATACAATGATATAATATCATTGGATTCAAATTTAATTCCATCCATTACAGTAACCCACTTGTAACCTACTGTACAGCAGAGCAACATCCACTTTCCCGCTTTTTATTATTATTAATTATATTGCTTTTAAGTAAAATCCTAGTTATTAATAACATAACAAAAAAATTCTTGCTTTGATATTAATTTAATAGGACACTTAAAGTAATATATATTCATAAATAAAAATCAATTTATACATTTAGAAATTAAAAAAAAGTGATGAAACAGCTGATTTTGAAGATGCTCCAACTGTGCCATATAATCAAGAACCATTTAGGACATTGAAGGGAGCTGCTGCTATACGAAAATATCATGTACTGAATGATAAACGAACAATTCTGACACAGGACACAGAAAAGAATGTTTCAGTTTATGATGTCCTTAAGGTCATTATCCTAAAAATAAACCTCTATTAAATTATTCAATTATTTAATTAATATTTATTTTTAATTATGTTAGGCTTCTAAAATTCAAGATTTAGGCGAAGTCGATTTTGATGAAGAAATAAAAAAACGACATCGCATGATATTTATACCAAACTGGTTTAGTGTAGACTTGAAAACAGGGGTATATTTATTTTTTATTGATTATAATTTTAATTTATATTATTATTTAAATTAACAMTAACAATTAAATTTTAAATGGTAACATCTTAATTTTTATTAGATGCTAACGATTCACTTAGGACAAGATGAAAACGATTGTTTTGCAGCTTGGGTTTCTGCTAAAGAAGCGGGAATTAATGTCACAGATGATAACTTAAGAGGTAATTATAATATTGAACTAATATAGTTTCCTATAGTTTCAGAAACATAATATGTGTTTATTTATTAGTAAATTATGGAAATCGGATGTTGAGATCACTGTTAGAAAATTGGCTTAATCGCATTCAAACAGATCATGGGTCTTCTGATGGAGCCCAGTCTACTGAACTTAATGCTCAGTCAAAATTAGATTCTCAGTGTTGTAGAATTCCTAAACATACACCTCTTATGATAAGTGAAGTTGGAGGTCGATGTCTGTATAGGATGTTAGTCAGCCAGGCCGGAGATGAAAATGATGTTTCAATTTTAAACGAAACTATTCCCTCATGGGTTATGAATGTTATTGTTGAAAAAAGTATACCTAAAGCCCTCAAGATATCATTTTATCTTGTTCCACTATCAAATACTTGCATTAGGCCTGTAAAAAAGTATGTTTAGATTTAATACATTTAATTTTCATCATTAATAATTTAAAAAAAAAAATTATAGTGGCACTCTTCGACCAAGTCGAGATCGCTTAGTGGCACATGATTTTATTCAAGTACAGAAAATAGCTGAGTATATCCATGAAAAGCTGTCTGAAAATGATGGAAGTGGTCCATATAACAAAACCTCAGACTGCATAAGCAATCATCTACAAGGAAATACACCAGAAAAAAATTTTGAACTAAGTTGTAATGATCAAATACTTTCTCCTACAATGGATTTAAGGACTTTGAAACATTTTATTTGGAAATCTTCAGCCGATTTAACAATATACTTTAAGGCCAAACATTAGATGTTAATTTTTTCTTTATGATTTATTTATTTAAGTTATTGTCTTCTTATTCTTTATTTATTTAGTTACTTTTTTTAAATAAAATTCAAACAATGTTTACAAATTTGTTAATACATTTGCCATTATCTGCAAATAAAAATATGTATATTAAGTTATGATGATATTGTTAAAAGTTAAAAATGTATTCACATCAAAAGTATTAATATTAAATGTTAAATTCATATCACCCAMAGAAAATAAGTGTAAAATTTTAACCAACCTGTACATATAGCCAAAAATATATTAAATTGTATTATTATGTAAAAAATATTGGCGTCAAATCAAATATAATTTGATTATATTATTTTCCTAAGACTTATGAAAATATTTGAAAAAGAGACTTATTTTGTTTTTATGACCATTTATTGTTTTAAATACTTTATGATATTGGTAATACAGTAATACACGAACACATATAAAATTATACAAATAATCTAAAATAAATTTACCTGATGTAATTCAAATTAAATGTTATAAAAGTAGTCAAAATATTAATTTTTAAAATAAATTTAATTGAAAAATTTTAAATAGTATAATTTATGTTTATTTTTTTTTCTTCTTTATCATTTTATTTGTTATATGATTTCTGTTATAAATTATATAAATAATCAGATATATATCAAAAAATAAAAATATTTTGCTGTGTTTTTAAAACTTTTAGTTGATAAAATAATATTAATACTTAATAATTTTAAGTATTTTAATTTTAATAATTTACTTTTAATTGCATATAACTATTTTCAAAAATTAATCATTCAGTTTAAACATTATCACTCAACTATGAATACAATCATATTAGGATATCTTTATTTGATTTAATTGGTGAAAAGTTATTTTAATTTGTTTGGCATATTTTGGGCATATAATTCAAATTGTATACGAATATTTGAACTTGCTTAAAATATGTCTATTTTATTAGTTTATTATAGCTTATATGGTTATTAAAAATATGGTATTAATTGTAATTGTTGATTCAACTATAGGTATTTACTATTATTCATAAATAATTTTTTTGATTTTGCTTATTATTGACGACAAAGTTAGAAGACAGAGTTGAATATATTTACCAATACTTATATTGTGTGTACATAATATAATATAATTTCATTACCTCTATCTTAGAGTCACAAATCTATATAGAGAATTATAGAGATTGTATATTATACTGATATACAAACTGTTTTTTGTTTTAATTATGTTTAATTTAACATATGTCATGGTTTCTAATTTATAAGTTTATTATTTTAAGTCATTTACATTTAATTAATATGTATTTTATTTATTACCCAAAATTAAAATTTTATTGTACATCATGACTGAAAAACTTTATATATTTTGGATAGTACATTTAACTTTATTGTTATTTAAGATTAAAATAGTATGTACATTTAATTTTGTCAAACATTCTTGGTATTTATTATTTAGTTTTGTTGTTGTATAAATACCTATAAAATAATTAATAATCAATATTAGGTATTTTAAGTCATATTACCTATATACTATGTAGACTTGTATATATATATATATACACTTCATGTTGAAGGGAGGAATACTTATTCATTTATAACAATGAAATAATAAAGATTTTTTTTTATATTTCACATTATATCAAGTATTTTTATTGAAAGTTGTATGGATATTTATTTAGGTACCTACCTTCCTACTGTAATTGATTAATTTATTTTTTCATCAATTATAGATCACAACATTTTTGATTAGTCAAAAGCTTTAAAGAAAATCAAATACAAAATTCCTCATGAATTGTTCATACTGAAATCAAAAATTCTAAAAATTTATAAATACAATTTTAATACTTTGCATGCTTAAAGTTAAAATTTGGGTAAAATTATACATCTAAACTGAGAAGATTGATTTTTATTATTTTGTTATTAATTGTAATTTAAAAAAGATGGGCTCTACTATCCATTATATTGTGTCGAGTGAGTTACTTTAGTGAGAAATGTTAAATTCAAATTCAAAATGATAAATCATTGTACGTTAAATTCTGAACAGAGATGATGTGTCAATCTAAGATTAGTAGGATTTTTTATATTATATTAATATAATTGTTAGTAACAATAGGTAATTTAAATTAATTTCAGCATTTACCAATTAGCATAGGTGCAAACTGCTTCAGTTTGGTGTGGGGGGGGGCTAATTATAATTTTGGGTCAAATCCCCTGCGATTTGCACCTATGCCAATTAGGTAACTTAAAGTGATATCGATATTCTGGTTATGTAATAAAACTCACCGGGATAAGAACTACAATTGTTTCATATTTTAATTTATTTTAATGTTTTGGTAAAAAAGTTAAAAAATATATTTTTATATTTAATTATTTCCAAAAAAATTAAAGATAGCCATTTTGTAGAGTTTATTTTTCTGAAAATTTTGACGTTTCAAAATTTTATTTTCATCTATTTCCTGATTTTTAATATTTTTTTTAGTTTCGAGAAAAATTGCGAATTTTATAACACCATAATGTTATTAAATATGTGACTCGCCGCGCCACGCGCATTCCCATACGGTCGGTTTTCCGTGTTCCTATTGTTCTTAATGTAGTTATACATCTATAATCATATTTTATTTCTTCAATACTAGAAAAATATCAAAAATCAGGAGATTAATGGAAATACAATTTTGAAACGTCAATATTTTCAGAAAAATTAATCATACAAATGGGGCTATCTTTAATTTTTTTGGAAATAATTAACTAAAAAAATTAATTTTTTTAATTTTTTACAAAACATTAAAATAAATTTAAAAATGCAATAATTGTAGTTCTTATCCCTGTGAATCTTATTATAAAACCAGAATTTTTATATCACCATTATTTCGAGAGATATCGCAATGGGTAAATCTTCGCGCGCGGGACACCCAGTTAAGTATTATTAGCCTATAAAATTATACGGAATGTCTAAACATACAAATATCACAACAGTTTCCAATAAGAATTGGTCCAAGCGTGTGCACAAGTCTATTTTTTTTTCCTTTTGTATCGAGAGCCAGAGAAGGAACCGCGTTAGCATTGACCTCTGACTCCCATCGTTTATTGATAACAATAACATCGACAATTATTAGTGGTGGGACAATCCTCCACTCCCTAATATTACAACCTTTTTACAACAACAATTTTTTCAACCGTGTGCACAAGTCTGGCAATGAATGAATTGATGAATAGGTACTTATACTATTATAAAATATTAAAATGGGGTTGAATTGGTTGGAATAAGCATATTATCCAAATCCATAAGATTTTCAGATAAAGGAATTAAGACGGAAATTTATTTATACATCATACAGAAAGAGTAAATAAATATTATAAAAGTAGAGTGTCCTGAACGGAAACAATACTGTTCTTCCTCAAGGTTACATTTTGTAAATGAATTCCGTACGCTTTTGAAAAATATCGAGAAATGTTTACTTTTGGCTCACCAATAAATACCAACTAGATTTACTTTCCCACCATCAAAGATGCTGAAGTAGAATATCCCAACATTTTTCACTACCTAATACCTATAAGAACAACTGTCTTACTGCAGCAGACGCAGTCATGCTTCATGCAGATTGTGCAAGTTTAACGCGAATGGTTGTCGCCTATTAAACGCACTCATTCGATAATTCCAACCCATAATTATCATTTTCTTCGTGTAAGTATCACTATCTTAATATACGGTACGCCACATAGAGTCTGTAATATTACATTATTGCAGGAGTCTTCAACATAGTACGACCCGCCAAGTTAATTAATTAATGTTTTGTAAAATATATTAGTTTTTATTATTTTTAATAATATAGGTGCCCATTATGATTACTATACATATTTCTTATACTTAACTGTCACCAATTGTATTCTAACAACACTAATTAAGAAGTATATAGGCTTGTGATGCCCAAACGTATTTGGTCTAAAAAGGTTTTGATGGAGACTCCTTATCTTTGCTCTTGATTTWTGGTGACGACCTGCAGTATCGAATTACCGATTAGGCGAAGTATATAGGCGCCAGCTTCGTGGCCACACTCATTTAAGGGGTCTAGTGAAAACGGAAAACCATGTTTTTTAAAATTTAATAATTATTCCTTTGTTTTATTTGAAAATTTACGGGACAAAAGTCAATATGAAATATAAATATTATGTTGTATGTGTTATATGCAGTAGGTACCTACCATATAAAAATAAAACTATTTTGTGAATTTTGTCAACGCGGTAAATAATATGTATTAATGCTAATATTTATCATATATTATCTGGCGCCCGACAGCGATGTTGACGGAAATAATTTCAGGTAGGTATTTTATATCATAGTTGGACGAATAATTAAAAGCTAACGAAACAGTGCCAGCATTGCGATCGTATTAATTAATTTATGAAAATAAGATGGACCGATGAGTCGGCCTTTCTAAATGCAAGACAACATTAAAAATGTATAGATGTCTAATGCCCTAATGGTCACCCATGCTACCGGGGAACTAACTTTTTCGAGGTTAAAGTTGTTAAAAATTTGTTATCGATCTTCAATAACCCAAGAACGTTTAAATTCACTTGTCATTATCACTACAGAAAATGAAATTTTACAAAAAACAGACTTTAAAGATATTCTCGAAGAGTTTACTGCGCAAACAAATTAAGAGTTAATATTTGAAAAATCAAATGTTTTCTTAACTAAAAATTACAATTTATTTTAAAATTGTTTTATAGTTAATAAAATATTAGAATCATTAAAAAAAAAATAGAAATAATATATTAATTAATTAATTTTTCTTATAAATTAAAAATTCAATAAATATAATTTTATTTATTAATATTAGTTGATTATTATTAAAGCTGCTTATTTTAATTAGATATTGGGCAGTGAAGTTTTAAAGACGTATGTAAAAAATAATTTTGTAGGAACCTAAAATTTCAATTGTCTAGGGAACCAGATATGTTTAATCCGGTACTATGGTGATGATGTCTTCAAGGTCACCATCGGGATAAATTTAAACAATGCCGTTGAGTTTATGTGAAATAGCAGAACACGCTAAACTAATTGACCGTTTTCCGTTAGAAGCAGCACRCAACGGCTAAATAAATTAAAAAATCATAAAACATACCTACCTACTTATGTGAAACCTACAATTACTCTATCAAACGGATTTAGAGTAAACATGTCTAAAATTAAAAATATTATATTATTATATTGTTTCTTGATAAATTAAAGACGTAGGTATAAAACTGTTCATTTGTTTTACTTTTTTAAAACAATTAAAATTGTTTGTATAAGTACCMGGTACCTAAATATAAAATTAAATAGAAATAATTTATAGTTTATGTTTATAGTAAAATAATGAGTATAGGTATAACAAGGTCTTGCAAAAAAGTGCGATTGCCGATGAATCTTTGTAGGTAGGTTAGGTCAGTAAAATGTTTTCGGAAGCTCATGATTTTTGTTTTAGTACTAAGGATTGTCAGCGATTTATATATTACACTATTTCAGTGATGACGACGACTGAATAACTGAGGTACTGAGGTATAACCTTAGGTAGGTGTACTACCTACATATAATATGTTCTGTACTTGGTGTTATACGTTATAGTGTTATACCTATCTTTTATSATTAATTTTACCATACAGATTAAACCAAACATAATTATTAAAATATCTAATATGTGAATTTTACATAAATATCTAACGTTTATAATTTTTGTACTTTTTTTTTATCTAAAGTATAATATGCATTTTATAACAAATTATTACCAYATTGAAAATACGAGAGTTAAAAATGGAGGGAGYCACCAATATAGGTACTTAAAACTGTTTATTCTGATCAAATAATAATTTGAATWTTGAAATTACATCAAATTTGAATAGTATAGTTATTCTTTTTTGGTTSTGGGGAGAGGGGCGTCTAGTAGGTACTCTTGAAACCACCAAAAATACTTCACCGTGTCCATTTAAGAGTATGAATTACAAATAAAATTTATTTTGTTAAAGTGTTGCGTAATTCGCTTTCYTCGACTATAAAAATGAAGGTACCTTTTGGGAATTTTCTATTTTCATAATATCAAAAAATTAATTTCAATATTTAATGTTCTATTATATTATGTTGTTGATCATAAATTATTATACAGTAGTCAGTTATGTATGTTACCTACAAAGTATGCCTATTAGAATATTTTAAATAATTTATTCTGAAAA